TCCCCCGGTACGTACGGTCAGGAAGGGGTGGCGCGAGCTCTGCAGGACGCGGCTCTCGGTCACCGTGTGAGCGACCTCGTCCTGCGGGGAGGGACCAAAATCACCCAGAAATCACCCAGAAACGCCCTTTTTCACCTCAAAATCACCCAGAAATGCCTTTTTTCACCCCAAAATCACCCAGAAATCACCCAGAAACGCCCTTTTTCACCCCAAAATCACCCAGAAATGCCCTTTTTCACCCCAAAATCACCCAGAAACGCCCTTTTTCACCCCAAAATCACCCCAAAATCACCCAGAAATGCCCTTTTTCACCCCAAAATACCCCAGAAATGCTTTCTTTGACCCCAAAATACCCTGGAAATTTGTTTTCTCACCCCAAAATCACCCAGAAATGCCTTTTTCCACCCCAAAATACCCTGGAAATGCCCCTTTCTCCCTCAAACTGCCCCATTCCCATTCCCATTTCCATCCCAAATGGACGGTTTTGGGTTCAGAGTTCCCAATCCCATTCCTGATCCCATTCCCGATCCCACAGGGGCAGTTTGGGGTCAGAATTCCCGATCCCAAATGGAGGTTTTGGGGTCCCACCTTGGCGATGATGACGTCCTTGCGCAGGATTTTCATGGCGTAGTGGGGTAACCCCGATCTGTCCCATTTCCATTCCCGATCCCATTCCCGATCCCATTCCCGATTTTGGGGTCAGAATTCCCGATTTTGGGGTCAGAATTCCCAATCCCACCTTGGCGATGATCACGTCCTTACGCAGGATTTTCATGGCGTAGTGAGGTAACCCTGATCCCATTCCCATTCCCATTCCCATTCCCGATTTTGGGATCAGAATTCCCGATTTTGGGGTCAGAATTCCCAATCCCAATCCCACCTTGGCGATGATCACGTCCTTGCGCAGGATTTTCATGGCGTAGTGGGGTAACCCCGATCCGTCCCATTCCCATTCCTGATCCCATTCCCATTCCTGATCCCATTCCCGTTCACATTCCCATTCCCGATTTTGGGGTCAGAATTCCCGATTTTGGGGTCAGAATTCCCAATCCCGTTCCCACCTTGGCAATAATCACATCCTTGCACAGGATTTTCATGGCGTAGTGGGGTAACCCTAACCCTAACCCTAACCCTAACCCTAACCCTAACCCTAACCCTAACCCTAACCCTAACCTATCCCAAATGGAGGTTTTGGGGTCAGAATTCCCGATCCCATTCCCATTCCCATTCCCGATTTTGGGGTCAGAATTCCCGATCCCATTCCCGATCCCATTCCCGATCCCATTCCCGATCCCATTCCCGATTTTGGGGTCAGAATTCCCGATTCTGGGGTCAGAATTCCCATTCCCAATCCCACCTTGGCGATGATCACGTCCTTGCGCAGGATTTTCATGGCGTAATGGGGTAACCCCGATCCGTCCCATTCCCATTCCCATTCCCATTCCCGATTTTCGGGTCAGAATTCCCGATCCCATCCCAAATGGAGGTTTTGGGGTCCCACCTTGGCGATGATGACGTCCTTGCGCAGGATTTTCATGGGACAGTGGGGTAACCCTAAGCCTAAGCCTAACCCCAACCCCAACCCTAACCCTAACCCTAACCTATCCCAAATGGAGGTTTTGGGGTCAGAATTCCCGATCCCATTCCCATTCCTGATCCCAAATGGAGGTTTTGGGGTCCCACCTTGGCGATGATCACGTCCTTGCGCAGGATTTTCATGGCGTAGTGGGGTAACCCCGATCCATCCCATTCCCATTCCCATTCCCGATCCCATTCCCAATCCCATTCCCGATTCTGGGGTCAGAATTCCCGATCCCATTCCCATTCCCGTTCCCGATTTTGGGGTCAGAATTCCTGATTTTAGGGTCAGAATTCCCATTCCCAATCCCACCTTGGCGATGATGACGTCCTTGCGCAGGATTTTCATGGCGTAATGGGGTAACCCCGATCCGTTCCCATTGCCATTCCCATCCCCATTCCCGATCCCATTCCTGATTTTGGGGTCAGAATTCCCATTCCCATTCCCGATCCCATTCCCAATCCCGATTTTGGGGTCAGAATTCCCAATTTTGGGGTCAGAATTCCCAATCCCATTCCCACCTTGGCAATAATCACGTCCTTGCGCAGGATTTTCATGGCGCAGTGGGGTAACCCCGATCCATCCCATTCCCATTCCCATTCCCGATCCCATTCCCGATCCCATTCCCATTCCCGAT